TTAATTAATTAAGGTAATAATTTACTTTAATTAAATTAATTAGAATCCTCGGTAATTGAAAGATACTTTGGATTAATTTAGATTCTTGGATTATCAAAATTGAATTTCAAGACAACTAATGTGATAATAAGAGGTTATGAAGCAAATAGGGGATTAGGACTCTAGAACACTCTTTTCTTAGTTGACTCTAATTGTTTGTGGATTTTAAGTTATTTTTAATTGATTGCTTTTAATATTTTCATTTTAATTGTTTTAAAATTAATATCTAGTTGTATTATCTTAACATGAATGAATTTGAAAATTTAATGCCTAATTGCCATTTTAATTAATTACTTGAAGGATTGACCTTGATTTATTACCAACTTCAATTGTGACCCGTATATTTGCGGTGTCTTTTAATTTTTGTGGGTACCAAGTTTTTGGCTCCATTACTGGGGTTACTTCAACCCTTTTGTCACTAAAAGTGTTACCATGGTCAAGATTTAGCTCCACACATGTCCACTAACGTAATAATGCTCGATTAATATTTAATCATCAATCTACCCACTAATTAACCCCTTTCTAATACAATTTTAGGTACCCATTATATCCAAAACCTTATTTAATCTCATTAATTCTCCCAACACACTTTATTAATTTCATTTAGTACCTAAACACTTTAATAATGCCACTTTATTATCCACATTTCTTCCCATCTTTTAACTTCCACTTACGGTTTGTCCAAACCTTACCTAAAAATTCTAAATCACTATACAATCCATAAACCTATGTTTAGATGCTTGATTGAACTCCACAAGACCTTAACTAAGGCAATGGGTTCGGTTATAACCCAAGAAAAATAGAATCAAGTCCCACAATGCCCCAAACTTTTAGAAATTTGCATAAAGGGAGAGGAAAAGATGTAAGAAGTTTATCCAAGGATGAATCTTGCTCTAATTGCTTCCAAATTGCTCTCAATATTAAGCCCTAACACCCACGAGTCCTTCTTCCGACGCTCCTCTTGTTTTCTTTCTTTCTTTCCTTTGAAATCAAACGCGTTTCACATATGCTTTATGCTAGAATTTGGCCATACGTTGTAGCATATGGCACAGCAAGTGCTGCATGCCAAAATGGCTTCCCGCTCAAGCCCAATTGACTCGTATACCATCATAGCATATTTTTTAAGCTATCCAAAGGTTCAAAAACTTTATTAGTATTCCAAAAACATCATTAGTTCATAAATCACTTATTTTGACTAGTTTGCCCTCTTAAACATTGGAATTTTAAAGTGTGAAATTCAGGATGTTACAATAGGCAACATTTCAAAAATGTTGCAATAGATTAACATGAAAATTATTGCTTATTCCTGACATATAGGCAATAGTTTTTTTTAATGTGTTGCTAAAAAGTGCAAAAACTATTGCGTTTTATCATAGGTAACATTGGAATTGGTGCAAGTTCAAAAATGTTACCTTTAATTTTTTGGAACAATTTTCATACCTTTAATCACAATTTTTAATTGTTTTTATATGACAAAAATGTTGTAGTAAACATTCCCTTCAAGTACCTTGTGCCTGTTTGGATTTCATGTATGGTCAATTCTAAAAGTCGAAACCATGGTTTTGTAAAAATACATCTAAACACTCCTATTACATATGAAAAATAATTATGAATTCAAAATCATATTTTTCTAAAATCATCCAAACATCTATTATACATGTTAAAATCAATTGTAAACCTAAAATCATGCTTTTCTTATAAATATCTAAACACCTTTATATATGTCAACCCAAAAATGTGATTTTAAAATAGTTTATAACATTTTTTGGATAAATTTTTAGAAAAATATAATTGAAAAGCATATAATAGTAACTTATGAGATAACTGTGATTTTGGGATTATAATTGGTTTTGACATGTATGGGCATTTGGATATTTTTAAGAAAATTATGGTTTTATATTCATAATTAATTTTGGCATGTATAATGGGTGTTTGGATAATTTTAGGAAAATATAATTTTTATTTTATAATTGATTTTCACATGTAATAGGGGTTATTTGGATATATTTTTGCAAAATCATGGCTTCGTCTGATTTTCAATTGTGCTTTTCAATTTTTTTTTCAATTCTATTTTTTTAATTTTGATTAAAATCAATCTTATTAATCAATTTTATAAATTAATTATATACCATATAACATAGTCAATTACATTCAAAATCAATCATATTAATTAATTTTTTTCATTATCAATTATATCTAACTGAAATCAAAATACATCCCTTATCTTTCAAACACAACAGTAGGTGTTGCTTAAAGCCATATAATGACTTTATACGATCAATACACCTTCCTACAATATCTATTGATTCAAATTATATACTTGCTCTTCCAAATCTCTATTTAAGAAGGTATTTGATCATATGATCAATCTAGGTTAAAGGCAAGAGCCAATGGCACCTTGATAGTGTTGAACTTGGTTTCCATGGCAAAAGTTTATGGTAAGTTACTGCCATTTAATTGGGTAAATTCTTTGGCGACTAATCATACTTCATGCGGGTTGATACTTTCAGTAAGGGTTGTGCATGGGAATGAAGATCTACTTGCAACGTACTGTTGTTTATTTCTTTGGTAACTTGTTGATCTCCATTGCACCCATCTTCATCTACTTTCTATTTTGCAGTTGCATCCCTGGGCAGTTTGTCAGCTGAAATACTTGCAATAAAGGCTTTCATGGCAAGAGCCAATATGTTAAAAGATACATGATTACTTTGGGAGTATTTGGCACATGCAATTGGTATGCCCAAATCCGCCCCATCCCCTCTGGGTTCAAGATTTGAGACTTGAGTCTTTTTTTAAAAACCCTACCTCCAAAATGACTTCTTTTTGGAGTTGTGACAGGAAAAACTTTAAGTCAGGCAACCCAGCCAGACCATCGAGTTACCTAGGTTATCATAGGTTAACTTGTTTGGGTCAATCTGGGTCAATCATATCTAGGTTTAGTGTGAAATTGGACATACCAAGTGTCAATCACATTCAGGTTACCAATCAAGCATGACAGTCTGGTCTAGTTTTCCATTGTTTAGCATAGTTAATGTGGGAGGATATTACATTTTCTCTTTCATGTTTGCAAACAATTCAAGGACTCAACTCGTTAACTCCCACGCCAGTTCCAAGAGAGCTCGACAGCATCAATCCCCAACTTCCTAACCATGTCAGCTTCATCCTCATTTCGAGTGTATGTAATTGCTAGCTATATAGATGGTACACAAGCAAGTCGGAAATGACTAAAACCGTTAGTCAAACATGTAGGGCAACACCAAGAGATGGTGAGACTAGGAAGGGGAGGTTTAGTTCTTCTCGTTGTGACTCGGCCGCATTATTTGTAGAGCCTCCATTTTCCATGTCTCATTACTGGCAATTGCTGCGGACGAAGAAGCTAAGGTGAGTGATTTGCAAAGGGGTAATCCATGACCTTGATTCAAACAAGGACATTCTTCTGGAGGAAGATGAAGAGCATGTGAGGAGAGAGGGAGATCGGAAACGGTGAGAGAAAGTGCAGAGAAGGAGATGGAGGAGGGGAGAGAGTTTGTAAATATTTTATAATAAAAAAATATTAAGAGAGAGAGAGAGCTTGAATATTTTATAATAAAAAATATTAAAAAGGACAAACAGTGGGACCCATACCATGGACGTCAGGAGGTAACGAATGAACTGCATTTCAAATTTTCAAGGACAAAAATGACTTTAAGTTGAGTTCAGAGCGCCTGTAGATTCTAATGGTAAAATTTAGGAGCTAAAATATCCCTTAACCCTCACCTCTCAAAGGAAGTATATGCTAGAATACCCATTGACATTCTTACGGAAGCCAACTAGAAAATGGGTCACAAAAACAGTGCACCAATTGACACTAGGATGCACCAAAAACTATTGGGAAAATAGATCGATCTTACTCATAAAAGACCCAACATTTGTTTTCCTATAAACACGATGTCAACTTATGAATAAACACAGAAGAACGCACTGAGATAGCTTACAGAATATTGAAATATCTGAAGCTGACACAACGGATTTGTATTTTAAGAGGGCAGCACGTCTAGAAATAAAAGTCTAGACAAATGTTAATTGGACATGATCAGTCATGTACAAGAGATCAACCACTAGAAATCGTTCATTGGTGTGGGCAATTCGTATCATGGAGGAGCAATTAGTTGTAGCTAGAAGCAGACTAGAACTGGGAGTTCATTGTCGAGAAGACTACTTATAAAGTTTGAGTGTGGACTTAGAAGCGCCGGTGAAAAATCCTACGTAAAAGCATGCCTATTATTAGCATTGGAAAAAATTTCTTACATCATGACCGAAGATTGGTCCTAGTTTTATAGAAGAAAAGATTGAATCAAACAAAATCAGTCTCTCATAAAAACCCACAAATGCAAAGGTGACAGAACTGATCAAGACCATTCTAAAACAATACAAGAGCTATGCTTGAACTATTAAGCGCCAAATTAAGGATGGTCGACATCTGCTCCTAGCCTGTATAATTGTTGGAGACCACATGGGTCTATCAAATGCCGAAGCCCATTGGCCCGCAGAAGTCTTTGGATCTAGTTTTAAATTTTCAGATCTAGAGTTTGACAAATAAGCTACATTATATATTTTATATATTAACCGTAAACCTAGTTTTGAGAGAGGATGATCCATTAACTTCAAATCCCTTTAAATCCGGACACTTTTTCTTAAAAAAAAAAAAATCATAAAGCCTGAAAGAGTATTCTATCACTGCCTATATTGACAGACCGCTCATGGTTGACCTCCTGTAAGATCTGGATGCATTCAACAGGGCAAGGGAACACAAGAGCTTCAAAAGAATTTGGACACTTTTTGACAGAAAAATGGAAAACAAAGAGTCCAGACTCCGATTTCACCAAAATTAATTCGGCCTATTGCAAAAATGACAATGACCACTGACCAGTGAAAGACAAGTACAAAATACAAAATACAAATGCCACAGCTTTAAAGAAAGATTCAAAGTAAACTTTCGTAAGCACCATCTAATATTACTCTTGCTTGCAGGATTGCACATTAGAAGGCGGAAAATTTAAAAGAAACAGACAAAAATCAATGAAATAAAAATGACACATAAACAGCTGTTACACAAAACTAGGAAGACAGCAAGCTGCAATCCAATTCCTTTACAACAAGGAAGAAATGTATTGCCTGAGATCCTGAATCCCTTTCAGACAGTGAATATGAAATGAATATTGACTTTGCTGGTACATTACCTCCATGTCTGTGTTCATCAACAATTTGGCCTTCTGGAATGGGTATACAATTTCCTTTGAACTATTGAGCTGAAGATCCAGCAGTACCCAAACCCATCTTCTGTCCCAACATTGTTAGCTGCTCTACGAAGTCCTCACCAGTGAGAATTTCTGTTGTTCCATATATAACGTGCTTGACAGGCTGCTGACGCCGCGCAAGCTCTTGTAGACTGCCATACTCGACATAATTACCACCGCCAATCATGAACACAATTGCCTCCTTAAATGGTCCTTTCAAATGGCTGCCGCCAGCTGATCCAGACTTAGGAGAACGAGGATCAAAAGCAAGGTATGAATCTACTTCAGGATTAGGCCTCCCTTCAGTCAAGGCTTCAACTGTCCTTGTCAACGCTAGCTGCCTGTCATTAGATAAGAGATTCTTGACACCAGCTGTCACTGCACTAATTGACTGCCCATAGAGTTTCTCAGCCCAGTCAACAATATTACTTCTGCTAGCAGAATTTGCAGATGCCAATGAAACATTCAATGATTTGATCTTCTTCACATACAGAAAAGCAGCAATATCAACCTCAGATTCTCTCAGTGCCGTTTCCACAGCTTCCACTTCTGACTGATTAATGCTTTCAGAAGAAATTAGATACATGATGGCAAAGCGAAGCTTATCAATCTTTGTCCCCTTCCCTCTGAGCACAGCAAGTAGTTCATTACGTTCAACACCCCCTCTAATCATCATGTCATTTTCCTTTTTTGCATAAGAATCCAATGATCTCTCCTTGATCTCACCCAACAACACAGTAGCAATGTTTGTGTGCTTATCAATCACCTGTTTTCTTTCAGTGAGCTCGGGCAGCGAATTCACAGCATTCATCAAATGCTTTGTGTTACCAATCAAGTCTGTGCCATCAAATTCTGCACCACTAGTTCCACCAGTCCTCTTATTTACCTCATCCACGTCTTTCTTATACTTACTCAGCTGGGTCTCAATCTCCACTGCAACTTCAGGAAATTCTAATGATCCATTTGCAACCCAAAATGAGTCTGAACTATCCAATTCATAAGATCTTATCCCACCTTTTTCTCCTTGCACACTTAACCTATTCAGCTTCAATCCAAGAACATCATGAACAAGGGGTCGGTAACGAAAATCGTGCTGTATAGCAACTGATAACTCAAAATTCCTATCAAATATGCACAAAACTGGGCGCTGAAAGGAGCTAACAAAACTACCGCCCTCTGTAAACAAATTGTTCTTTGCCAACATATGGTCTCGCAATCTCTGATCCAATGCTGATGCAACCATCTCTGCAGGACCACCGCGTGGACACCTTATGATTGGCACAACAGCAAGCGTAGCTAAAACACAGAACAAACCGCTAACAACCGTCTCGATAATCTCCTCAATTTCGCGATCTCCAGCTGAAGGATCATTCAATTGGACATAGGTGGACTTTTGAGCCAGGGAAAACAAATTATCTTCCAATGTCACGAACTCCAAGTACTGATCATGCACCTTGGATATCCGACGAATTGAATCTGAATTCAAAGTCCCAGATGCAAGATCCTCGAGAAGTGGACGAGGAATGGAGGTCGAGAAATTGAGATGAAAACTATCATAGAGTGAGCGGGATGCATCAGCGATGATCCGCTGGATATTTGATTGATTAGGTTGAACGAAATAGACAGCAGGCACATCATGGACAGGTTTTCGGTCCTTGTCAATGAGAAAGTAAAGGGTTACGCCATGCTTGCGGAGGTCCTTAACATGGATCAACGGGGAAAGAATGTTTTGGCAGAACTTGTCGTAGATCAGTATCTTGTACACCTCTTCGTTTGTGGTGCCTGTTGCGTTAATCGGTTGGTTCAGATTCAACATGCGGGCTATGCATTCTGAGACAACAACAAATCATACTCGAGAATATCAATACGCGGAGAAATGATAAAGCTTTTAATTTGGAAAAAAATTCCTGAGATTTGATATTTTAAGCATCAAAATTAATTCCAGAAGGTATAGGCTGAATAAATCATGGCGATAGAAGGCATTTATTAACTGTAGCAAAAGATTGAAGCTCTCTTTGCCAAAATTTTCACAAAAGCAGAAACCAAGAGCAAGATGAGAATTACCGGTTTGCTTCTGACGAAGATTAAGAGACATGGCTCTGAAATCTGAATTCTCGCCGAATGAGTTTCACTTCCGTTCTTCCTCTACGCGCAGGTGACGGACGTAAGAAGACGGGAAGGGGTTAGCGTTCACTTTGTCCTTGGAAGGGTACTGAAAGACTTCTCTCTCCTTTTACTTTTTTTTTTTTTTTTTGCTTTGGGGGGAGGGTGGGGGGAGAGCCCAAACTCTCCATTCCTTTTAATGGAACAAACTCTTTTTTCTCATGTCTTGTGACATTTGCTTTTTTTATTTTTGTTTTTGTTTGTCTTGTAACAGTAGCTGAAAAGGAGTGAAATGACCATATAGCTGCATCTCATTTTCTTGTGAACTAATTGTTACAGGGTCAATGACTCGAGCCAAATTTAAAAAATCAGCTTAAATTAGTTCAAAAAAAATTAAAATTGAGTTTAATTATATAGATTTTTTAAAAAAAGTAAAATTTTTTAAACTCGATCTAAATAAAAACAGTCCGAATTGAGCTCGATCTAATAAGTCTGACTGTTTAATTTTTTGACTTTATATGTATGTAAAATTAATAATTTTGATCAAACCTGGCCGGTCATCCTGAATCTTATCTAAAAAAATTAGGGTCAGATTTGGTTATATAAATTATTTTAAGAGAGTAAAATATTTTAAACTTAATTCAAATAAATCTAACCCCCTTGAATTATTGGTTTTAATCATTGTGCTAGACATTTATTATTCAAGATTTTCGTTGCCAAATTAGCATGGATGAGAATCAATATCAATAAATCAAATTTACAATTAGTTTAGAAGTACAATTATGTTCCCAACAATATGTAAAAGTACAATTAGTTTTAATACAGTATTTTTTTCAGCGTTCGTCCCACGTTATTTCTGTTCGGAATTAGAACAATCTTCTTTTGTATTGTTTGAATTCTTTTAGCTAAAATATATCTTTGATCTTTTAATTTTATATTTTCTCTATTAAAAAATATAAGATATTTTTAATTTTTTAAGGTATAATTATTATCTTTTTTTTAATAGTGTCCCTATTGATGAATACTTTTATATTTATTGTAAGGTATTTAATAGAGGTAAATATAAAAAAGATAAAGTTATTTTAAAAGTAGGTAACTACTTTATTAACAGGTGAGATTCGATTAAAAATACCTTATATTTTTTAATGGTGGGAGTATGGGGTTTTAATTTGATCCCTTGATTATATAAAATATCTTTTCAATCAATTAACCCTAAGTCCCTAACATTGTTAGTTTTAAATGAGTAATTTTTTGTGATAATAATTGTTATTTTAAAAAATGTATATCAACATTTAAGAATGTTTTGTTAATATTTTAAAAGTTTATTGTAAAAATTTTATGTGATGAAATTAATAATATTAGGGTTAAAAGATTAAAAAAAATAATTTATAAAATTAAAAAACTAAAATAAAATATTTAACTTAAATTTTGATAGAAATATAGTTTTAATTTTCTAACTTTATACAATGTAAGTAGACAAGTTCAAAGGTTGAAAGAAGTTACACTAAAGCTAAATACAGAAAACCCAAGCAAAGGCCATCAGTGACTAAGCTCACAGTCCTTCTACAGCAAACCCCTGCACGCTTTCGGAGCCGGATGCACCATCAGCACGTTTCCGCCTAATATTGTTTGAATTTTGTCATATAAGAAAATAAAGCATTTCAATTATTCCATTTCCTTGGAGGCTAAACAAGAAATTGTAGCAAGTGCTCATCAATCTAAATGATAAATCTAATCTAGACAAGCCACTCTTCAAATCTAGCTCCAGACACATGCTCATCAAAATGGCTTCATGAACAGTATATGACTCTAGCTACAGTACTGGCTTTTAGCCATTAAGCCATGGCTGCATTGGGCCTTGTGAAAAGTTTAAAAGAACTGCCTCCTCTTTCTTCTTTTAAATTTCAAAACTCCAACCATGCTTTTTAATTCCTTTAAAAAATCAAATGATAATATCATCAAGCCTCATGTATGTCATCGAGATCCGTGTAGATTCTATTCACCTCACTGACCTACTTTCATTTTATTCCTTCCAAGGAAAACACTTGGATAAATGCTCGAATAAAACCTCCACCGTTATCCTCTCAACCTAGATTGTGTTGGCCTTTCCTTTAATCTACCGTGCAATTGCTTCATTCCTCTGATTCTCTCGTCTGAATACCTGTCCTAAGTATTTCGGACTAATTTGTCCTTTTCGCTACCTCCAATAAGTGCACAGGTCTCTTCCTCCTCCTTCATTGATGGACGCCACCATTATGGTTACTCAACCTTGGCAATCGTGGCTATTCCTCTCCTTTGAATGCATCTTCCTTGGCATTATTTTTGCTTTATGTTTTGCAGTACTGGTGCATGACGCTGAGGATCAATATAGATTGCAATGGTTGTTACAGAAAAGGAAGAGAGCCCTTCTTGAAATTCCAAGCTAGCCTTCAAAAAAAAAAAAATTAAATGTACCCTTTTTTAAATATTCAGAATCTGGGTCTGATGTCGTGGATGATTTGTGTATTAGGTGAACCAAAACTGGAATGAAATATGATAGAGAAGAAGCAAAGCAGGGTAATAGTGTGTGACAGGTAGTATGTTTTTAAATAAGATGTCCATATGATATATTTATAGAGCATCAAAAAAATGGGTGTTCCCTTTGTCATCTAATTAATCTACTGAACATGATGAAGAAATTGTTATATCCATACCATCTAACTTTTATATTTATCATATTGAATTTGCTCCATTGTATCTTGATTCTTTTGTTTTGATTGTTTTTGAACATGTTTTTGTTTTTATGCAGAAAAGTGCAATGTACTAGCAGGGCATCTCACTAGACAATTATGGGCTTCCTTATGTCATTATTTGAATTGAAACTAATGCATGCTCACAGCTAGTGATTTATATCCATTGATAGGATGTTTTCCCGAAGATGGAGATAGGAAGGTTACCTTCAGCATTGTGCAATGAAATCTACATCCTAAATCTTGTTTTTTTTCCTATATCATAAACAATATGAAAGCATGTAATATATTAAGGCTACATAGTTTATCCATCAGTTGCTTTCTATTATACAGTAGTATTTTTCTATTTGCTTTTCAAAAAGAGGTCCCATTTGCTTGTGTTGCCCTCTTTCATGGTCAATATCTAATGCATAGCACCTAACTCATTACACTATATCAATGGATGAGCTAATGTCACGTGTTCTTTTACATGTTTTGACCAAGACGTGCTTCAAATTACACTGATATTAATACAAGTCCCCTTGGTTTCATTAATACCATCTTTTTGTAAACGTTTTTGCGCTGACTATATAGTGAAGAATGGTGTCCTTATTAGACACTTTTTGCCAAATTGTCGTACCCCAATCATGATCTTCAGAAAGAAAAATTATTAAATATAGGAGTCCCTATCAAAATTTAAAAGGATAATTTTAAAAATCTTTTAACAAATAAAATAATCTATAATAATCAGAATATGGTTGAGAAGTCGATTGTATGTGGAGAAGGTATTAGGTATCTCACGACATCCATTCATAAGAACAATTACCCTAAATTGATTGTGTAAAATTAATTAACTTTTTAATAAGATCTTAGTTATCCTTCATTCCACATGAAAAATAAAGATAAAAAAAGGAAAATAAATTATTTATTTATGTAGAAGGACTTGACCTAGGATCAAAGCTTAGGACCTACGTACCCTATGATGGAAATTAAAGTCCATGTAATTCGAAATATTATTATTTAGGTTTTCATTTAATTTTTTATTAATTTATTTTATGAAGAGAATGTTATTTTGTGTTATATAATCATATTTATTTTTAAATAAAAAAATTGTCATAAGGAAGTACCTTTAAATAAAAGGAAAATAATCAGTATTGAAACTTACGATGATTTAGGACCACTCACAGTTCGCTGGTCGACACTCTAAGTACACATGGTGATTTAGTATTACTCATGGTAAATCCTAAAGGAATTTTTTATACAATAATTTAATTTTGAAGTTTTAAATATGAAATTTGATATTTGTAATGACTTAGTGTCATTCACGATATCTCGTTTGATATTTTTAAGAATTCACAGTGATTTAGTATCACTCATAGGGCAATCTAAAATATGCTAAAAGATTTTATTATTTTATTATTTTTTAATAATGCATAAGAGAGGGAAATTTAACAAATATTAAAACCTGCGGTGATTTAATATCACTCGCAATCCACTAGTTGATGCTTCTATGTGTACACAGTAATTTAGTATTACTCATGACAAACTTTAAAGAAATTTTCAAAGTGAATTTTCTATAGAATAATTTAATTTTAAAATTTTAAATATAAAATTTGATACCTACGATGATTTAATGTTATTCAAGGTATCAAATTTGACATTTTTAAAATTCATGGTGATTTAGTATCACTCATGTTATCAATGTATCAAATACCTACGGTGATTTAATATCACTCATATTACCCCATTTTTTTAAGGGGAAAAAGATTAGAAGAATATTTTATCAAGAGGACTATGTAATAAACTGTAATAATATTATTCTCACAACTTTTATCAAATAAAGAAAAAAGTAAAATAATAATAATAATAATAATAATAAGAAAAATGAAGGATCAATGTCATGTTGGTTTACAGCACTTTCTTATATATAAATTGATGATTCAAGGAGGTTAGGTAACATATCATTTTAGGATAAGCTCACAGTGAAAAATCTATGGTGATTTGAATTAATAAACAAACAAAACAAAAGAAAAAAAAACAATAAACAATGGAGAGACAATTTGAAGCAAAGCCAAGAACGTGTACAAGGAACCTAAGCTTTAGAATACTAGATGCTAATATTAGGATAAAAGCAAATATGTGAAGTTCAAGAATAAGGAGCCCGCAAATCAATGGTTGTACATGCATAGGGGAAGAGTTTCAATAGGGTTTAGATATTGACTCAAGAAGATTTAGTTTTTTCCATTAAACACGCAAAGCCAGAGGAATGAAAAAGAAACATTCACTTTCAACACTTTGCCAATTCTTTCTATCATGTCCTCCCAGCCTTCTTTTCTTTTCTCTCCCCTCAAATCTCTTCTCTATCCTCCTCCTTTTCTCCTTTACAATTATCTCTTTTACAAGTACTAATTAAGTTTCTCTTATTTAATGATAGGATCAAACAAAAAAAGAAATTTTTATTTTGAATCTTTTTTCTTTATTTTAGATTTCAAATTTTTTTAATTAATTAAAAATAAATCTCAATCAAGGTATAATTTCCTCAAATCAGATTTCAAATATTTTAAATTTCTTTTTTTAAAAAAAATCAAATTTAATGGAAACATAATTAAGGGAATTTGAGGTAAAAAAAACATATTATTGTTATTATTATCACAAAAGCTCTCCTTTTTTTATTCCTTTATTTTATTTATTGTGTTTTTATTAATTTTTAATTTACACTTAAAAGCTTGGACAAAATTTAGTGTTTACATAAATACAATAGTTTTTGTTAAGCAATATTTTATTTCCTTTCCGACCATGTGCCACATATTATGATTATAATTGTTTGAACTGTATTATCATTACTTAAATTAATATATATATATATATATATATCATATAATATTATAGGAGTCAATAGATCAATTCAAAATAAGAAATAAAATAGTATAACCATAAATGCGTTTAACCAACTGGTGACATGTGGTGATATATATTGTATGTTATAGATTAGCCAATCCTTGCAATGCCATTGTATGAATTATGTTCTTGCACAGTTTCAAATTTTTGAATTGGCATTTCATTTCTACTATGCAAAACTACAAATGCTTGATTTTTTTTTTACTTTGTTTTTTAGCTGTACATATAGTGAATTTCGTTAACAAATGGCTGACTTTCTTAACAAATTTTTTTTTTTCCTACTTGCAATAATTATTGTTAAGTTATATGTCACTTTCTCCCTGATCAAGTGTCACATATTATGGTTTTTTTTCCGAACTATACTATCATTTATTGACCTTGTATCTTATTGAAATTGTTTACCGGTGTAACGCACGGGATTGTAGCTAGTTGACATGATAAGTAGTGCCATCATGTCCCAACAATCTTATTTTAACGGTTTTTTTTTTTGCAGGATTTATTTTGACAGTTCCGAAAATGGTTTCGCCAAATGTGAACAGCCCTAAGAGTCCTTTCTTTAAATGGAACTGTGGGTTGCTTTTTCTTTTAAAATTTTAGAAGTCGATGCATTTATGAGAGAATAGACATTTACATTGCCTATTTTTTCGCATACCATCCGAGATTCGCGCAGCACATTTCCCCACCCTCTTCCATTGAATCACGGGCATCATTTATATTTTTTTATTTTTTGGTAGGAATCAGGGCAAAAGCCCAGCCTTTATTATTAACAAGTAATCAGCAGAGGGGAAAAGAACCCTCCATATCTCGATACAACCCAAGAGAAACCTCACCAGGAGACCCAGTCAGAATTTCAGATCTACATTGCTGCGTAATACCCATCTTAGCAAGTACATCTGCGCACATTACTTTCCCGAAAAATATGCCTGGCCTCCACTTGCCAATCTTCTTCAATAAATGACAGTGCATGTTGGAGCTGCCACAAGTTAGTCCTTCCTTCATTAACAGCTATATTCCATTCTCGAATGAGGGTGGAAGAATCACTTTCGATGATCACTTTCTTCATGCTGAGTATCTTAGCTGCTTGTAAGATATAGAATAGACTCCATAGCTCTGCTTCCAGTGCAGTGCAAATGCCGAGATTGCAAGTGAAGCCTCCCAGCCATTTTCCTTTTGTGTTCCTGAAAATGTCTCCACATCCGGCTCCCAACTTTCCCTTCGATGCCCCATCAATGTTGAGCTTGATCCACCCTTGAGGGGGGTGCTTCCCGCCATGTGTGAGATGGCCGAGTTGGTCTCATAAACAGTGTCTCAAATCTTATGCTCACCTCTATAGCTCTTGTGTAGTTGCTTATTGTCATTTGGAGGTTGTTTGCATCAGTAGGAATTGCCTTAAAGATCCTGTCATTTCTATTCATCCAGAGCCGCCAAATTGTAACTCCAAACAAAGTATGCCACTTGGAGTCGTCAACCTTCTTGTTTCTCTCAAGATTCCAAGCAAACCACTCATTCTTGCTCATATTATAGAACTGTGTAACATCCTCGTTGGTAGAAATGTTGCCCAAATCTCCTTAGCAGCTGTACAGTCTCTCAGCACTATATTTTTTATTTTCACTATTCAACATTTGCAATTTTATACTACTATTTATACATATTTTATTATATTTATTTTCAATATTTAAAATTTATATTATTTATACATTTTTATCATATATTATTCAATATATAAAATATTATATTATTTGAACATAAATCTACAATACTAAACCTTAAAAAAAAAACAACCTTTTACCCAGTTTTGCCCCTCTTAATAAGAAAGAGGGCTAAGCCCGTGATTCTAATAAAAGATTACGCAATAGAAGATTGAGATTCCCAAATTTTAGAAGAAGCTAAGGCAACGTTTGGTACGCAGGACTGGGTAAGTGGGATTGGGTTTGGGATTGGATAATACCAAGTTTTTATGTTTGGTAGGTGAGAATGACAAATTTATTTCCAAGTCTAATCCCATCTAGGTGGGAATAACCAGTACCACCCTCCCCCTTGGTATTGGAAAATTAATCCCAGGATTGAAATTTTGCAAACCAAATTGCCCTTCAAAGGTGACACTATGCCCTTGGTATTCGAAGGTGACATTGTGCCCCTAATCAACAACACAATGTCGGCGACTTAGTCTTGCATCTCAGATCTACAATCGCCGTCTTCCACCCACGACGCTGCAGTCTCCCTCGCTCAGCTCATGTCCTTTGCGTCTCAAATCTGCAGTCGCCATCTTCAATCATTACCCTCGCATCTCAGATCTACTATCCCTGAGCATTTAGGCAATAAAAGGTTTTAGGTTCTGGAATGGGCGGCAACGCATGAGGCTTTGGTGAAGAGGACGAGATGGCTGTGGTTCTTGAAAGCTATGAACACAAAGCTTTATAAGCCATATCTAGTTTAGCTTCTTCCATGACTTTTGTCGGCAACAAGGAAGAAGATATAGGATAATTTGGTCTTTTAACTAATTTTTTGTTTATTTGAGTGTTACTTTTTTTTTTCATTCCCACATTATGCAGGTATTATACCAAACATGGTTTTAAATTTCATTCCTAGTCCCATTCCTACTCCCAATCCCAACACCAATCCCAATCTCAATCCTTCAAGATTCATTCTTGCATACCAAATAGGGCATAAGCTCTTTGAACTGCGTGTACTTTTGAACCCAACCTCAAATCTGTTTGCAAACCTTTCGAGCCCAACCACTTTGTCATTTGTATGGAATGTTGTAGTTATCTAATTTCGAAGAATGTCGCTGAGTGAGTTTTTCTTTTTCTTTTTTCCTTTTTTGACCTCTTTGTCGAGTGAGAGTTTGGTTTAATGGGAAAGTTGGGTTTCCTGCCTAATACATTTGCAAATCTTATGGGTATTCTTCTAGATATCGATATTTTCTGGGAGAAAGGCTTTTCAAAGAGTGTAGTTTACAACAACTTAGCTAAAGTTTCATATCTCGTGAATAAGAAATTTCCCAAATCTCACCCTTTATTAACATTGTGATTGGTCCATTACTATAGTGAACATTTTCAGAAAAGCCAACGAAACGTGTCTGTAAATTAACTGACTCATAATGCATTGAAAATGTTTTGTTCTTTAATAATCTCTGTAATTCGAAGAGTTTTTATGTGCTAAATAAAAAAGAGCGACATACTCGCGGACGCGTAGACTAATCTTTGTATTCTTTTCTCCATAGCCTTTGTATTGACAAAATAAAAATGAAAAGGCAAGGAAGATTTTACAGGAGTCATACTCTAACAACGGATCAAATGTGCAATCTTTTGTTGGCCGAAAGATTTACGAACCTAACCCATTATACGTACATGGATAAAAAGCCACGCCCTAAATCGGGCAGGCCTCCTTAACTGAATTTAAACATTGATGAGAGCATATAGTATCACTAACATTCCAATTAAAAGCGGCAATTTGTATAGAAAAGGTTGGACAGACATCTGTACCTCATCTCACCAACCATTTTAGTTTAGTTTAGACCAAGCAACTGCTAGGAGCTGCCAGAATAAACATCTATACAAATACTCAAGACCCGTCTATGACAGAAATGGCACAGGAACACGATCATGATACCTCCTAATGAGCAACAATTTACTTCAGAAAATTTTTCACAACCAGAACTCATGCACCAAATATAATGAAACCATCCAAAGAGTATAAAAGAAATCATTCCTCCCCCTGCAGACTAATACATCAGAGATCAGGGCTTCGTCCTTCTCCAGAAAGAATTTCAATTCCACAAGCTATTCACTAAAATACTCGTCACTCTTTGGTAACCCACCTATGGCCTCTAACCTGGTATCCCCCGTAGCTTTGATCACTACTGCTCTCTCCTCCACTCTCTGCACTCACATATCCCGATTTTCGGCGGTGCTTCTTTCCCCTTGACACCCCACTGTCACTAACACTCCCAGTCAATAAGGGGTCATCTATTCCACGAATCACCCTCCTTGCAAGTGACGATGATGAAGCAATGCAACTATCGTCCTTTGTTCTCTTTCTATCTTTGTCATTCTTCTTGATGTTTTGAGAAATTCTATGTAGTTTCTCATTAAATCGAGTGATCCCCTTTTCCACTGGCTCCACTGCTTGATTGACTGTGAACCTCACATCTTTCACAATCTGGAAGCATGAGAAACAGTGAGGCAGACGCAATACATGAAGGAACTGAAGATTAATATGAAATGCACTGAAGGAAATATCAAAATATATGGTACAAATAAAGAAAATATTGGATAATTCCCACTTTTCCAACGCTTCACTAAATGTCCTTGCTTTGATAGCATTATGTTTAAATAAAACAAGCAGAAGTATGAGGTTATGAAAGTAACTACAGTTATCATAAACATAATACAGAGTAATTAAACTCTCCCCACATTTTCACCAAAAATTATTTAAAACTTTCCACGCATTCCATACATCGTTCAGGACTATAGCTCAGTCAACGAATTTGAATAAAATATTTTTGTAATTTTTCCCCACTCTTGTTTTCGTTCAACATCAAGATATTTTGATAGCTTCTATTTAAATACTATAACATTAACAAAGCAGTTTGTTTCACTTGTAAGCAGATTATTTGCCACTTACTCCCACTAGGGCAATTTTAGAATTCCTTCTTTAAATGTTCAAGAATATCTTTATTTATTTGCCTTAGCTATCATCCATATCCATATGGGGGTAAAACAAAAGACTTTCCTATAAAAATTGGATTATATCAAGAATTATCTTTGAATCTTTATTTGTTTAGCCTAATCTTAAAAGTTTTGACTGATCATATTCCTTGTGATATTTTGAGAGATGAAAAATGCATTTCTCATTCATGTGGATTCTAATGTACAAACTGATGCTATATATACACATCAAGTGAGATAAAACCTAATAAATACTAATAATGCTAATAAATGTTAATGATTCGCAATAATGACATAACATTTCCACACTCCCTCTCAAGTTAGATCATAGATGATAATAATGTCCAACTTGCTTATGCAAGTCTCAAAGGCAAGCTTAGGTAGCCTCTTGGTGAGCATATCAACATCTTGTAACTTGGTAGGTAGGTATGTCAAACATACAATGCCTTCCTCTACTCTCTCTCTCTCTGTGATAAAATGCCTATCCACTTCAACATGTTTAGACCTCTTATGTTGTATAAGATTCAATTCCATGCTTATGGCAATCCCGTAATACAACTTCATTGGTGGATCAATTCTGACCTGTATTTCTTCCATGACCTTTCTTATCCATAATTCTTTTGTGATTCCTTGAGCTAATGCTCTCAATTCTAATTTAACACTGCTTCTGGATACAACTCTTTGTTTTTGAATTTTCCAAGTCACTAAGTTTCCCCACACAAACGAGCAATAGCCAGAGGTAGATCTCGTCTTCATAAGCCCCCCCCAATTTGCATCTGTATAGATCTCAATCGTCCTTTGATCATGCTTGTTGAATAGCAATCCCTTACCAGGTGTACCTTTTAAGGTATTTGAGAATCTTGTATACAACTTTCAAGTGTTTCTTCCTTAGATCACACATGTACGAACTTGTTACATTGACAGCAAAAGCAATATCTGGCTTTGTATGGGATAAGATAAATCAACTTTTCAACTAATCTTTGATATCTGTCTTCATCAACTGTTTCTTCTTTTTTCTTGTCCTCTTCTTCTTCTTCAACCTCATTATCAGAGTTGTCTTCTCCATCTAACTCCTCCTTACTGTTTTTCTTAGGCTTCTTCTTTCTTGAGACCACAATAGGAGTTTCCTCAGGTTTACGACCTAACATACCAGTTTCCTTGAGATGATCAAGTATGTACTTCCTTTGAGATACATATATGCCTCATTTTGACATTGTAACTTCCATCCCAAGAAAATATTTCAAGTTCCCGACATCCTTGACTTCAAATTCCTTTCCAAGGACAATCTTTATCCTTGCTATTTCCTCAACATGATCTCCTTTAAGAATTATATTGTCTACATACACAATGCGGATACTCTTTTTAGCTCCCTCAACCTTAACGAACATCATATGATCTAATAATCCATGTTCGTAGCCTTCCAACTTCAGGACCTTTGAAAACCTATCAAACCATGCTTTAGGTGACTATTTCAAGCCATATAAGGATTTTTTCAGCCGGCATAGTTTTGTCACTCCCACCTCTGTCAAACCCCAAAGATAGAGTCATGTAAACTTCTTCCTCCAATTCCCCATTTAAAAAGGCATTCTTGATATCTAATTGATGAAGTGGCCATTCAAGGTTGGCTGCTATTGACAACAAAATTCAAATAGTGTTTAGTTTTGCCACTAGCACAAATGTCTCGTTGTAGTCTATACCATATGTCTAGGTGAAACCCCTTACTACTAACCGTGCTTTTAACTTGTCAAGTGTGTTATCAGCCTTACACTTTGAGGTAAAAACCCACTTACAACTAACTAGTTTCTTACCTTTAGGTCTCTCAACAATCTCACATGTTTCACTTTTTCTAAAGCTCTCATTTCTTCCATAACTGTATTTCTCCATTCTGATATTTCCAGTGCCTTGTAGGATGTCGTTAGGAATAACAATTTTATTCAAATTAGTGATCAAGGCCTGATAACCAAGAGAGAGAGCCTCGTAGGATACATGCTCTTGAATTGGATATAAAGTACAAGTCCGAGTTTGTTTCCAAAGAGCAATAGGTAGATCAAGTTCAGCAGATTCACTTCCTTATTTTGAATCATCTGGCTTATTAGATGGATCAATCCTTGGTACTTCAGCTTCAAGAACTACCTCTGGTTCTAACTCATGATGCCTCAGATACAAGTAGCTCACCATTTTTTGATTTCTTCTTTCGAGTGTAAACCAATAACCCCTCTTTTTGTGGTCTTTCTACATCTCTCTCTATTTTCTTGTTTTTCCCAAACTTTGGCATAAGAGAAAAGATTAGTGAAGGTGGGGTGTTTGACGGAAAAAATGGTGAGGGTAATGATTCTGGTGAGAGCTTAAGAAATACATATTCTGTGTCAGGTTCTGGTCCCCAAGTATAAAATTCACTTATACTCTCACCTTGAATTGAAGAATTAGAATAAAAGAGAGTTTCTTTATGGAAGGTAACATCAAGGCTTACAAGGGTGCGTTTAGAAACAGGATCAAAACATTTGTGTCTTTTATGAGTAGGAGAATAGCCAAGAAAGATGCACTTGATAGCTCGAGGCTCGAGTTTACTGCTTTGGTGGATATGAACAAAGGCTATGCAACCAAATACACGAAGTGGAAGTTTGATTTCAATGTGGGATGTAGGAAAGACACTTTGCAATTTTTGGAGAGGAGTTTCAAATGATAAGATTCGACTGGGCATTTGATTGATGAGATAAGTCGCGATTAAAATGACATCCCCCCAATAAAACTTTGGTACATTGCAAGTGAACATGAGTGCTCTTGTAATTTCAAGGATATGTCTATTTCTTCTTTCTACAACCCCATTTTATTGAGATGTACGAGCGCGAGTACTTATATGAACAATACCATGCATCTGGAGGAAATTACTTAGACTGGTTGAAGTACTCAGTACTATTATCAGTGTGTGAGACTTGGATGCTAGTGTTGAATTGGTTTTTGATCATGGTGAAAAAACTCATGAATGCAGATGCAGCCTCAGACTTGTTCTTTAAAAGATAAACCCAACAAAAATGAGTATGGTCATCAATGCAGAAAATGAGTATGGTCATCAATAAAGAAAATAAATCATTTTGTTTGAGTACGGTTTGAAGTATGAGATAGTCCCAACAAGTCACTGTGAATGATTGTGAAAGATTTGGTGGGTGTGTATTTGGCTCTAGGAAAAGAAGATTAATGGTGTTTAGCAAGTTCACACATCTCACAATGGATTTCACCCTAATTCAAATTGGGGCATAAGGTCGGAAACTATTGGATATGGGCTCACATTAGGCTTGGGCTTGGGCTTATTATCTTATTTATTTTTTATTCTCTTCCAACATCTTTTTTCCTTTTTCACTTATGAATTATTATCTACCCATTTAGTAGTTTTATTCCTAGAATATCTGTGGAGAGATTTAGGGATTGTTTCAGGCAACTTTCTCCTATATGTACCTTTATCTCTGACCGAATAAGATTAGATTATTCATAAAATATTACATGGTATCAAAGCTATCGTCTTCGCTCCTCCTTTTTCTTCTCCTTCATCTTTTTCTCTCAGCACTCACAATTCATTCATAGGCACTCTCACGAACCAGAACCCACGAGCAATCCAGACATCTGATGGCAGCAATCAAGTTGCATTTGGTAATCAAAGTTCAAAGAACTCAACTAGAGATGATGGGTCACAAGGCTCGACCGGAGGAAACAGGTCATTAAGCCCGAACAGGATGCTCACACCCACATCTAAATCATTTTTCGCAGATTGTCATAACTCATTGCTTGAACGGGAACAACTATCTAAAGCGGTCCCGAAACGTCCTAATGGTATAGTTCAAGGAAGGAACAAAGAGAAATACCTCACAAGTATTCCTTCTCCACCCCCAATTGGAGAAGCAAAATATGAAACTTGGGTAGCTGAGAACAATATGGTCATGGCTTGGTTGTTGAACTCAATGACAATGGAGATAGTGAAAATTATTTTCTTGCAACCACTACCAAGGATATCTAGGAATCAGCAAAGACCACTTACTTTGTTAGAGATAACACAGCTGCTATTTTTCAGGTAAGACGTTCCCTTAGAACCCTTCTTCAAAATGAAAAAACTGTTACCCAATATTATACTAGCTCTATGAAGTGCTGGCAACAAATAGATATCTATGAGGTCCATGAATGGTCCTGCCACTGGGACGAAATTTATTTTAAGAAATTAATTGATAGAGAAAGAAATTATGATTTTTTGTTAGGCCTTAATGACTATTTTGAGGATCTCAAAGGCTGAATTATGAGCATAAAACCTCTTCCTACTTTGGAAGAAACCTTTAACATGGTGCGTTGTGAGGAAAGCAGAAAATTTTTGACTTAAAGCTCCCCATCACCGAATGCTCTCTCCAATGATGCTCCTGCACTTGCTGTCCATGGAGCCCATGGAGATATGAAGGGTAAGAAGTCTGGAAAATGGTGTGATCACTGTAACAAAGGTGGTCATACCAA